TGCGCCAAGCAGCCAGCAGAAACGCGTTCTGCACTTCGTAACGGACCGACACCGAACAAACCTGTCCTGTCTCGTGGGGGCCCCTCATTGAGAGAGAAAGAGCGAGAGGCAAGGATAGAAGGGGATTCGGTGAGGGCCCCCTTCCCTCTTTTCCTCTGTCTCTCTCTTTCTCTTTATCTCTCTCGCTCTTTGTGTTTTCCTTTGGAGAGAGAGAACGGCGGTACCTACATCTCTCGACAGAGAAGTTCTCTCTCTGCCGCTGCATTTGCAGCAGCCTATCGATCGCCGGTCCCGACAACCGTGGCGGCGGCGGCGGCGACGGCGGCGGCAACGACGGAGGCGGCGACTGCTGCAATTAACATTAGCCGGCTGAAAAATAATGCGCGCGGAATGCGCCGCTCGATCGCGCCCGCGAACGCTTTCGGCCTTCTTTCGTTTTGGTCTTGGCTTTTCTTTTCGTTGCCTTTTCATCGCCTCGTCCGCGCAGGTTTTTCCAACGAACGTGTCACGACGCAATTTGTCCGTCTGAAGAATCAAAATACGCGATCAATTCGAAGAATAATTAAGGACATTTCAATTTTAATTGTTCCTTTATCGGGGTACTTCTACTTTTCTTCTGGTCCTCCGCCTTTCGCGATTTTTCCATCAGACAGGACGATTGTCCTGTCGAATTTCACTTACGCGAATCGTTCGCCTCGCGTTGGCGAATTAAATCGTGCTTCCACCTCTGCTCATCCCGCTGTTTTATTCACGGCTTTTCTTTTATTATTAAGGCGGGATAAGGTTCACATCAGGCGATTTTGTTTTTGCGCAACTCCCCGGTGACTTGTTCACGCTTTTGTCGGTATTTCGCTGACTCACGAAGTTCGCGAGACCGCATGCTTTGCATTTTGCGAAAGGTGTGTCCGAGAGCAGCTTTCTTCGCTTCCGGTAGCAATGTTGGTTAAATTTCATTTTTGTTCGTCGCAATTGCTCTCAGCGAGTGAAAGTGCTCAAACGCGTCGCGCCCAAATCGGATTGTCGGTCGAATTGAGCGTGAATCGGAAAAAGGGACGTTCATTTCACTCGCAGCGCCGTGCCTGACGGTCGCACCTTGAAACATTGAAAGAAGGAAAGATTTTGACGGAGTGAGATTTCATTGGAAAAGTGAAGCCGAGCCACTCGAGCCCGAGTGATTTTTCAGTCGCGCAGAGCTGAACTTTTCACTGTGAATTGTCGAGTGAATATTTTCATTCGAAATTGAACAGTGAATCCAATGCACTTCACCGTCAGAAGAATATATTCACTCTAATCGAGTTGAAACATTCGCTCGTGTGAAGTCAGAATCCACTTCAAGCTTAAGTGAAATATTCACACTCGCGATTTCAGATGGTGATATCTTCATTATCGCTTCGAATCAAAATATTACCATCCTTTATTTGTTTTGAATGAGATCGCACTGCAAGAAATTTAGAAAGTATATTCACACAACACGCATGTCTTAGACTCATATTAATACTTGTTTCACCTGAAACTTGTCATATGAAATACTTGTCATATGAAATACTTGTATTTTTATTCAGAGTTAGATTCAGGTTGCTCAATCGAATTGTATGATATATGTGACATTTATATATATAGAATCGTGGTTAAGGGTCGGTTTATCCAACCTCTTGCTAAGCTAACTAACAGTTAAATCTTATGTCTGTTTCTATCTAATTTAAAGTAGAAACAAAGAGAGACAGACGTATAAGTTAACTGTTAGTTAGCTTAGCAAGAGGTTGGAAAAACCGGCCCTAAGACTAGAAAACTCTCTTCTGACTTCAACTCTGAATTCAAATCTTATTGAATCAAGTTTCAAGTACATGACTATTAACATGAGCCTTAAAAACGTTAAAAAAAATAGAATGTCATTTGGATGTCTTTAAGGTTTGCATATTAATAGTCGTCACTTGAAATTTGTTTTATATGAGATACTAAAGTTTGTATTCCTTGTTAGATCCATGTTTTTCAAATGAATTATATAATATATATGATGTTTATATCTATAATTGCGATCAGACTGAAAAACACTCATCTAACTCTGAATACAAATCCGAGGATCTCACTTCAGACGAATTTTAAGTAGCAACTATTAATGCGCTAACTTAAGCCTTGAAACTCATATTAATAGTCGTTACTTGAAATTTGACCTCACTGGAGATTCTCAGATGTGAGTTTTTTAGTTAAATCAGTTAAATTATTCAGTTAAATATGACATATGCGATGTTATATCTGTAATTACGATTCAACTGAAAAATTCAGATCTAACTTTACATTCAAATCTGAATATCTAACATGAGACGAATTTCAAGTAATGACTATTAATACAGATCTAAAGCTCGTATTAATAGTCGCTCCTTGAAACTTGCACAAGGTAAGATACTCACACTTGAATCTAGAATCTAGATGCGATTTGTTCAGCTTTGAATCGCGATTACAAACTTCGAAACTAATAAATAATTAGTACAGATCTTAAATATATGTATTGCGTTGGGTAAATCGTAATTCAGTAGATTTACAAGATATCTCTTTCTTCCCGTTTTATTATCTCTCGCAACGATGAATAACATTGTCATTGATGAAACGGAATGACCTTCCGCGGGACGAAATGAGCTAGATTGAAAGTACTGTAGAAGTCGACAAACTTCGACTTCAATTGCCGAACGCGACCGGTAATAGGGTATTCGTATACTCTGGCGTCGTCTGATAATTTCCAGATTCAGCTAACTTAATAAAGTATCACATTCCTGAAATTGTACCGCGCTTCGTCGACGAGTGGACCGCACGCTATTGTTATGCTAATTTTGTTCGCTCGAGACTGTTCGTTTCCGCGAATTCTCAACGCGCTGATAAATAAATTCCGGTGATCTCTCGCCGAGCTCGCGAGTTCACGAATTTTACGGACTTTGCAAGTTTACTTTAGCACCCGAATCCAAGAATCTCTCTTTTAATTATTTCAATTTCACGCAATTTTCATCTCACCATCTTTCTCCTTCCAGTATCTTTCATCTTTTCAATTTCCATACTGAATTTCTCAATATTTTGATACGCTGCTTGAGACAATCGGAGGATCGCATTAAACGCATATATGTATAAGCTTATACACAGAAAAATACATACTGTATTCAAGTAAACTTACCGATTTCTTCTTCCATACAGTTTTGTAACATATATTTTTGTAAAAAGAATAAATTTTCTCTTTGAATACATGAATAAACCTTTCTCAAATTTATAATGAGTACACTTTAAGGACCGGTTTTTCAATAGCAATTTAAATTTGGATTCAAGTTTAAACTCTATTGCAACAATACGTTTATTTTGTTTTTAAATCGAGTTTAAGTTGAAATCTAAATTTAAACGCATTGAAAAACCGGCTCTAAGACTATCATCACAGGAGGAAATATCTTTTATTGAAAATAACTATTGAAAGAAAAGAAGCAAGCTGAGTAATCGCTTTCTTTTATCAGTGGAGTGATATTTTTCTGTGTGTAGTTCCATCAAGCAATTCTTGACGTCTTGAACTAAACGCAAGATAAATAAATTACCTAGATCTATCAAGACATTTATCGAAAGTAAAGATAAGATACCAGCTGTTCGCGACATTTACAATTCTGTCTATTAGACGGTGCCACAGGCCACTCGACGAAGCGATTCCCGATTGTCCCGAGTGGCGTGTGACACGATACCGTCCCGTTCAATTTCACAAGCCGGATTTCACAACGGACACGTGTCTCTGATTTCAGTGCAAGGACTGAGCATATCTGGGAACGCTTGAGAAGCACGTCCCCCGAGACTCCCCCGGCCAAAATCACTCGTCTAACCTCTCCCCTGTCCTCCTCGCCCTCCTCCGCACCCCTCCCTTCCGAGAAGATCTCCCATCGAAGCCACAGGATCCGTAACCTCGCAATGGACGGTATGGACAACAAACCGGTGCTGAACGACGATCCCTCGGTCACCCTGACCATCCGGCTGATTATGCAGGGGAAGGTAAGCTGCTCGTTATATTGGCGCAATGGTTTCATCGAGTTATACTGCGCACCTCTTCGCGCGAATGCGTTTAATCGTGTTTATAAAGCAACGTTGCGAGTCCTTATCCGCCTCTTGGTCACGTCCGCTCGTCCTACAATTCTAATTGGGTCCCGTTGCCATTCGCGATTGGCCCGAAATGGGCAGTGTTCTTTTAGTTCAACTTCGACGTAACCACGGTAGTACATTTGTAATTATTAAAGTCGTTCCTCGCCCTCTTCACGGAGAAAAGCCTGACTTGGGGGTCGACTTACTTCGAGTTTGTTCCATCGCGCCGACGAATAATAAGTGCGCGAATGTCTAAGCATCAATTAGTACTTTGGTCCGCGCGATAATAATGTATCCGTCGGTGTTCCGAGAAAACGACATGATTATTTGGCTCGGGGCATAAACCGACGATAAATCTCGAATGCGTCATTTCGCGACCCTCACAGTCACTTTAGAGCGTTCCCTTTTTGACGATTCGCGCGAATTATTTATGAGACGCGCGCACCGACCGCTTTCGACACATTGTGACCGGCCGCGACGTTCTGGCACGTAACGTGGCTCCTATTCTGTCACAATGATCGAACCGGGCTCGTTGTACAATGCCGAGGCACTCGTGTCCCTAAGCACGGGGAATTAGAGCAGTGAGGAGCATTAGAATTAGAATCTACGTCGCGCAGATTGTCTACCAATTCTCAGGTTAAAAGAGACTAGAGAACCCGAAGTTCTCGGGGAAGATCCTTTCCTTTGTTAGAAGCGTCAGGAGATCTGCAGGATCTTCTAGATTTTGAGCATTTCTCCATGAAACTGTCGAGGGACATTTCCCCTTGACTTTTTTGAGAATCAGCCTACGTAAAATTCTTCTTGTTCTTCCAGTATTTTTCCAAATTTAAACTCTTGACCCTGAAATTTGTCCGATTTCACGGCTGAGAAATAGTAGGAAGCGCGTATGATAAATGATTTTATAAGCTGCGTATGATAAAGGAATTTATAAGCCGCAGGTAAAAGTACCTTTTCATTATACTAGATTTGAGGCTTTCACGGCCATTGAGATACAATGGCAATTCCGGAAGCTATACCTAGACATTGTACCTTTTCATTATATTTAGAAATTTAAAAAGTAATGTGAAGATTTTCCTTGTTCTTTTTCTCAGAGTCTTTCCGAACATTTCTAACATTTGGAACTTGTAACCTTGGACACGATTGTACGACTGTAAAATATTAGAAAATTTATGTGTTACCGGCGAAGTGAGAAATCCGGCATTATATAGAATACTTAGGCAATATATATGAAATACCTAGACATTATACATAAATTATATATATTATATATAAAAATTGACAGGCATTTTGAATGCTTAGGTATTCTATATAATACCTGAGTTTCACACAATGTCGGTAACACATACAATAAATTTCATACAGCATAAGTATCTAAAAGACATCTTGGAGACGTCCGAAAGATATTCTCGTTTTAGATATCTTTAGGATATCTCTGGGACGTGCCTTATGCGTCGTCTACAATGTTAGTAGGAGTAATAGTAAGAAAGAGGCAGTAAATAAATATGGATTTGTATGGACCAATCACAATCGATTCTTGAATCGTGAAAATGGAATTGGTCAATTTGCTTACTGCTTATTTCTTACTACTACTCCTATTATCATTGTAGATGATGCATGAGACATTTGTGCTGCTTAGGATAAAGCCATTTGAAATCCGTTAGCAAAAACGTCTTTTCAATATATGTGAGAGTTTAACCTTTCAACTCTCAGACAGGGCGAGCCGCTCATAAGTGATTTTTTTGGAATCTTTCTGCCGGAAAGTTTTGATGATTATGCTACTGAAGATATTCTATATAGACACAAATAAAAATTAATAACATTGTATTATATTCATGCACAGATACGTTTACTTACTGACAATTTCAATATAATTTTTAATATCGAATATGCTGTTACACAAAACATTTTCTAAAACTAGCCGCTCGCCCCACTTGGAAACTTGCTTCTCGAAAGCAAGCATTAAGATTCTTGCAGAATGCCAAGCAACAGGCAATAGGAACAGGGAATAGGAATTCGGATTGGTCAATTATTTTTATTCCCTGTTCCTATTAGCTAATGCCTATTTCTATTGCCTGTAGCCTGACATTGTGCAAGAACTCTTAGACTCGAAAGGTGTTGAAGAGATTTACGACTGAAAAGTCGGGAACAAGTCTTCCTCCAAAAATGTACGAGTGAACACTAGCGAATTACTGGCGCTATTCGACAGTAGAAAAGAAATAAAGCAGGAGAGGTGAGATTGAAGATTACGATGTCATTAGCGTACTTCGTTAGTATTACTGCGGCAGTAAACTTCACCTGTGCGACGAGGCGCGCATTTAAGGATCAAGTAACCGTGTCGCCTGAGATAATGTCACTATCAAGGCGACACGAAGCCATTCGTCATCGTGAGACGCGCGTTGCACGTTCTGTCTCGCTGAACGTGAATTGAAACGTCGCTCCTGCGCGCTAAAGTATCATCGGGAGCGTCTTCAAGTTCGCTCTTCGAGTTCGGATAACGTCCGCCGAGACGTGCGAGTATCTTGACGCGTCGCCAAAAATTCCAAATTGCTGCATCGCATTTTCTGCACGCTCGAGACTGTACACGCGCGAGGATAGCGAGTTTTCCTTTTTTCTCCCTCCGTTTATCTACCAGGTCTTGACACAGTCGCGATTTTCATCCGCGAGGAAGAACAGATTCGACAGAGAATCGTCGTTTCTCTCGCGATTCGTTGCCACTTCGCGTTTTAACATTCGTCGTTAAATGGACCGCGTTAAATTTGCATCGATTTGCAAGATAATCGCTCTGTCCTCGCGAAGAAGCGCCGACGCGGCATACTTTTCGACCGACGAGTCGGGAGGGGGGGGAGGGCGATTTTCTCCGAGATGGAGGAAGTTGTACGCGCGAATTCCGTTGCAAATAGTTGGCGAGTATCGGATATCTAGTCAGGAGAACGAGGCCGTGATCGTCTGATGTCCCGCGCAACTTTCCGATCGTGTTGCAAAATCTACTCGAATCTTCCCTTTTCGGCCATCTTGCGCTGTCCGATTTTTCACAAGGATGTCCACGTCAACGGCGGCAAAGGGACTTTTGCGGAATTCCGATTCGAGATCGAAAGGAAGGATGGAACTGTCGGCAAGAGATCGGGACGGATTAAAGGACTGTCGCGCGATTACCACGAGCGTTTTAATTCCGCGATGACAGGCAGGAAACGCTCGTGGTTGTCGGCAAAAGCAACTTCCGATTTGCGCCGTAACTCTGCTGTGTCTGCTAGCTTTGTATGTTAACGTCTCCCCTCCCCCTCCTTTGTGTTGGATATATCTGCGGGAAGAGAGAAAAACTGGTGGTTTTACTTTTGTCCGAGGGCTCGTCATCTGCGATCGGAAATCCATTTTTAGTGGTTGAGCGACTCGTCGCGAGCTGAATGCTTGAATCGTTAACTACCAGGCCGTAAAATCGATCCGAGAGACCCATCGCGCTCTTTATCTTTTCGGAAAAAGAAACGTAAACTCGCACTTGCAACAAAAAGACGAGGCTTGACGCATTTGTTCAAATAAGCATTCAAAAAAATATTATTTTGTCTTTAACGGAATCCTCTAAATCCTAAAGATTTTACTCTTTTATATATATATATATATATATATATATATATATATATATATGACTTCAAGAGAATCCTTCTGAAATTAAAAATATTCCAAACGTAATATTATTAAGATTATAGAGGAATTTCATTTTTTATCCGTCTTATAGACTTTGTTCTTAATATTTCCTCTAATAAGAAGGCTTTTTGCTTCAAATATAAGGGAAAAAAATTAGAATAGTGTCTAGTAGATTTCCGATTGGTAATCCACTTCATTAAAAGAATCCAATTAGAAAATTGAATTACACGAAATGGTAGTTTGCAACTAGTTTTATTTTTTACGTGTTTAGTGACTTTTTTATATAATATAATAATCTCGTTAAAATTCTCGCGTACGATAAAATAATCTCGTGCAATATCCTCCAGGTTATATCTTTCACACATACGCGAAGGGGACGAAGTTTCACCGACGCCGTGCGCGATTCGACGCGCGTGTCGCGATAATTGCGTCAGCCGCGTGAAATTGTCGCGAGGCGGTATTTTTAGAGCGAGAGAAAGAGAAGGGAAAAACAGTAAAAGGAAAATATCTCGGCAAAATAGCCTTTCGCGGAACAAGTGTCAAAGTTTATTTAGCCCGGCGCTCGTGTCGGCCTACCCTCGTTCCTGGGAACACGTCACCTACCGCCGTCTCTGCTCGTAATTAATTATCGTGCGCGAGGTGCAATATCGCTCGTCGTAGCACGAGTAATTAATGTCCGCCGTCTTGGTAATTAATCCCACCAGCTAGACGCCGATGTCCCAGTCGATGCGCGGTTCTTTTCGCGGGCGATCACGCCCCTGCCAAGTTTACCGACTCGCGCTATCAGGTTTTAATGCAATAATCCGAGACGCCAAATTTCAGGAAACTTTTTAACTCGGGGCCAATTTTATTTTATCCAGCCGATAATTTGTCTGTGGATCCGAAAAGTCGTCTGATAAATAAAATACGGAATAGCGTGACGGTAAAAGCGTTTATATCGATTAGTTCAGCAGAAGCATTCGATTGTTTGTAATTTTGTAATAAGGAACGTAGATGACATTTTGTTTGTTTTTAAAAAAAATTCGACGCGTGTGTCTGACTTGTTTGAAACAATCAAATCCTCCCGTGAATTATTAGTATTCACGGAATAAAAATACTTAAAATTTTTTTTAGATATTTTTCCCTTAGAATGTATATATTATGTTAGTTATATTAGCTATATTATTAGTGTTGATATTAAATTATAAATTATAAATTATTATTAGCTATTATTTATGTTATTTATATAGACACAGTATTATTATTTTAAGTATTTTTTTATAAAAGTACAAAAA